TTATACAACTGTTGTCTCTTGGCATATTTGTTATGACATTTATATATGTAAGCCACCGTCGTGTGTGTGTGTGTGTGTGTGTGTGTGTGTGTGTGTGTGTAAGTAAAATATTATAAACAGGGGCTTAGACTATTAACTTCTTAAGCACCGTTCTTGGGTCCCCAAATATTCATGTCACTGGAAGAACAAAGCAGAAAAACAGTGTTTTATTTAAACTGTATTTACAGGAAGCTGCTTTTGCTTATAAAACGATCACTAATCAGGGTTCGGTTAACTCTTTAAAGACATAAACAGTGGAGCTGTGTGGACAGCATACCATACATTGCTATACTTTCATTTAAATCTAAATTCTGAGAGTGGATTCATTGAAATATAGGCATTTGGGCTATTCGCAAAGGATTTATGTGGCTTGTACAAGTGTAGTTGGGCTACTGGATAGTTCTAGTATATTTTAAGACATTCCCTTCATTATCCCTCTATTCTCTTGTTCCTCTTTTAGCTGTCTTCTTTATTTTTGCATTGCGCACCAGTTTAAGGTGCTGGATGGGTAAAAAAATTGTATCCGTCAGATCTATTTTTTCCCACAATAAGTAAATATATAGGGAGTTTTAGGTGCCATGTTAAAAGCAAACGAAGAGGGAAATGTACAAAAGCCAGCTGCAAGGTCTGCCATAAATAGTGCTTCGCATTTTATCTTTCCACGTGAATATTATTTTAAGATCCAGGATAAAACAAATAAGGATGTTTTCCTTTTGGTTTAAATGGTTTCCACCATTATTTTCTCACTGGTTAGTTGAAGTTGATTAGATTTTTTTTAAAGGAACTTTCGATTGGGTTGTGATCTGACACTAAACTATTAAATTATATAGGGGTTACATTTAGTTTATTGCTTCCAACTTTATCCCGGCATAACCTAAAATGCTCTGCTGCGGATTTTCCCCCTGTTTTCTTGATTGCACATTTCAGACTATGTAGTATTCTTGACAAAGCATTCTACGCTTTGAATTTAGTAAAGTTCATCTCCTCCGCAGTTTTATTGACTCATCTGTTTAGTGCTTTGGGCTGGAATACACTTTGTTTGGAATCAATTTACAGAGAGCTCTTTCTATAACTCTATAACTGCCAGGATCTGTAATTTACCCGGATTTTAATATATATATATATACACACACACAAACATAGCCTTTCCTATACAGTCACTCTCCGTGTCTCCACTATATAGATATTCAGATATAGATATCTCAAATTAACTGTCTGCGATATGCCTGCTGTATGATTATTATGACTTGTTTGTTTGCAGAGCAGCATGTTTTTTGTTTGCTCTGGGACTGGCCGATCCAGTTCATATATACCATTTATTAGATTTAACCCGGATGGCCTTCCCCCTCACCCTGTAATATGTCCTTCTCGCATCCTATCCCCTCTGCCAACAACAACGTCCCTTCGCTTAGGATAGGGGCAGATATTTTAAGCCTTGGAAATCTTAAGGAAACTTCCCTTTCCCAGGGCAGGAGAAGCAGGTCAGGATGGCAGGGGCTGGAGTCCTCGGAGCTCCCTTTTCTCTGGTCTCTCAGTTAAGCCCCCTGGAGTGGAAGAGGAGAAGCCCAGCCCTGATGGTAACTGGGCTTGGGGGAGGAAGGGGAAGGGGGGTTGGTTAGTGGTGCAGGAGGGTTTCTCCCTCTGTCACTAACTGTCTGTAATTGTTTTCCCCCAGCAGACCATGCCTTCCATCAGCAGTGACCGGGCTGCCCTGTGCGCCGGCTGCGGGGGAAAGATCTCCGACCGTTATTACCTCCTGGCAGTGGATAAACAGTGGCACATGCGCTGCCTGAAGTGCTGTGAATGTAAACTCAACCTGGAGTCCGAGCTCACCTGCTTCAGCAAGGACGGGAGCATCTACTGCAAGGAGGATTATTACAGGTACGGACTGCCCCTCCCCCAGTGCAGGGAGCGGGGGAGGGCTCTGAGACCCACCCACCCACAGAACAAATCCAACCCCACTGCACACTGCATAAGGGGGGTACTGGGCAGACCCTCCCTGCGGGGCAGGATATGGGCTCCCTAAGCGTCTCCATCCAGAGGGGGGATAATGAGGTAGGCAGGACAGGCTGCAGTCTTTGGGGGGAATGGGCCAATATCGGGGCACGAACCCCACCCAGGCTTGGAACACGTGCCCCCCCTCGGTTTCCTGCACTCTTTGAAGTAAAACGAACCAACTAAGGAGAAATACAACTTCGCTTTCTTCTGAGCCCTTGGCAAATAGTATTAAAAAAATAGTAATAATGATAGTTAATTAACGCGCCTCCAGTATTACTTTAAATACACACAGGCACACACACACACACACACACGGTAAACTGTGTATGGATTGGCGCCCCAGATGCAGGGAGCCAGCCTGGAGAGGGGGTCTCAGCAGCCGTCGCCAGCTAGGATGGATGGAGTGGCAGGCTCTGGGGATAACTCACAGAAGGGCGAGAAATGTTATTCGTTAGGATATTTCTCCATTCAGTACTCTG